TTTAGAAGTCAATATTGAAATACAGTGCATGGTAAACACTGAGAGAAATGCTATAATTTCACAAATGATGATATACAGGACCATGAAATTCCATATATGGATAAATGTAAATACAACATACATTTTTGGTAAATATAACCACACAGTTACAGCTCTAATGAGCAAACTTTTATCAGGACAAATATTTTGTCCCAACAAATCCCCTTCTGAAAATACATCCTGATATCTACATCAGAGCCCCTTTGGTGTTGTGAATGTTATTTGAGAAAGCAAAATAAGACATTTTCCATGAAGTTAAGACTGATGTCAGCAGACACAGACAGTGAGCCCACATCACTGAAGCATGAAGGGGGGAAAATGTGTCAGCACCATCACATCACCTGCCAGGACACTCCCTCAGAGGTTTGGGACATCACACCTGGCCACAGGCTCAGTGTGGCTTTCCTTCCAGACACACTGAGCTGCTCTTCCATAAGGACAATGTCTGTGCTCTGTCAGACACATGGAAATCAGTCTGAAAGGATGCAACTCTGTGCTTCCAACTGCAAAATTCTGTTAAGAATGGACAGTGGGATTTCTGCAAGATTTTGGTACTAATTTATGCTATAAGCAAACACTAACTCTCACATGCACAGGATGTTCCTGAGCCTCAAATTAGACAGTGACAGCCTTCGATGGATTTCCAAAGCTTCATCCACCAGAGTGCTGCTTCAGGCAGCAAAGGCAGGAGTTTCTCAACATCAGCACTGCAAGCTTTGCATGAAGACAAGCCTGCCACAAAGTAGCATGACTAAGAATGGCATCAGGAGAGGCAGGCAGAGATCCAGAGGAAGCAGCAGGGAAGTAGGGCAAGAAGGGAGGGAGCAAGTTTCTCCCTGAGCCAATGGGCACAGCCCTCCTCAGGCAGCCAGCAGGGAATCTCGCTGCCAGCCAGCGTCACTGCAAATCCAAACTTCAGCCCCAGGCTCAGGCAGCACATTCTCCACTGGCTGCACAGATTAGACATCATGAAAAGTAAAGATAAAATTTTTAAAGCAGCTCGAACAAGGGCTGGATAATCTCCTGTGTTACAGGAAGAAGTTACAACAGTGTCCTTTCAAGAACAGACTGTCTTACAGCATCCAACAAGCTCAACCTCTGCTGGAGTTCTCATCCGAGTCTCTCGCTGGGTCTGGGCCACAGATGTTGTGTGGGCTGTGCTCAGGGAAGTTTATCTTTTTCATCACTTTTTGGATATTACTCAGAAATAGTGAAATAAAGACACAAACAAAATGGCAGCCTAAAAACACTTTGCCTCAACTCACAGATACATTTGCGTTAAAACTTAGAAGCTCATCTAAAACACCAAGAGTAACAGTTCTTAAGTTGGGATCTGCTCTGAAATACTTAATATACTTAAACGCACTTCGCACTGAAGGCTTTGGGAGAGGAGCTGCCGGGCCGAGGGCTGCGAACTGAACCGGGCATTGCTCTGCCTGGAGAACGCCCAGCAGCGAGCAGCCTGGCACAAGGGCCGATCCCACCCTCGGGACGAACCCACCCTCGGGACCGCCGGCCTCCTTTCCCCACAGACAGCCCCAGTGCCACGGGACCAGCCCGGCTCCCATCCCTCGGGTCCCCGGCCCACCCCAGCCCGGCTGGGCTGCCCCGGCGGCAGCTCGTCCTGCCCTCACCGGTACTGCTTGGGGTCGCTGGGGGACTTGACGATGTCGGGGTCACCGAGGTTGTGTTCGGGACCGGCCCCCCCGCGCTCTTCTTCCTCGTCCCCGTGAGGCGAGCGGCCCCCGGCGTCGCGGCCCCCCTCCGCGGCCTGCTGCCCCACCGCGAGCTCCGGGCTGCCGTAGCCGCACGTCGCCTTGTTCCTGCCGGGCATGGCAGCGGTGCCGTCGCTCCACAGCGGCCGGACAACGGCCCGTCCCCGCCGCCAGCCCCCGGCCACGGCCCGCCCGCGGGGACCCCCGGCCGCCGCCGCCCGCCCGCTCCGAGCGAGGGCGGCCGCGAGAATGCGCATGCGCATAGCTGCGCGGCGCTCCCATTGGCGGAGACAAGGCTGCCGGCGTGAGCGGGTGGGGGAAACGATGGGTGGGAGAGTGAAGGGCTGGGTCTGGCTGCTTTCAAGAATCGGGCGGAGCGGGCAGAGAAATCAGAGGGGTGAGAAAAAGACGGAGAAGCGGACACAGATTTCGGGGACTGCTCTATGCGCCGCCACGTTTCAATGAGTATGCCCGCCCGCCACCTGAGTTGTGCTCCCCTACTCTCGCCTTGGAATACTCCAACAGCCAGCTGGCGGAAGTCAGCCTTCTGCCCTCAGCTCCTTCACCGATTGGTCGGGTTGGCTGTCGCTCAAGCCTGCAGGGACCAATCAGCTCTCGGGCCGGCTGCCGGCAGCATGGCGGGTTATGTGGGCCGCCGTTCCCGGGAAGGCGGGACGCGGCTTGTCCTGAGCAGCGCAGAGGCTGCACCCACGGCTGCCCGACAGAGACCGCTCCTTGATCTGTGCCTGCCCCTCCGGCAGCTCCCTGCGCTCTGCGGTCCCTGGGCATCCTTTCCCCCTTCCCGCTGCAGTGCCGATGGGGCGGCAGCGGGAGCGCTGCTCTGCCTCTCGGCTCTGGCGCTTCCCGCCGGCGCCGCCGGGACCCTGCGCTTATCGCAGCCTCTGCACCGCTCCCGTCCCGCTCCGCTCCCGCAGGGCCCGGCAAGCGGCGGCCTTGGCTGCGGAGGAGGAGCTGAAAGCGAGAGGCCGAGCCTGAGGTTCAGGGCAGATCGTTCAGCCTGGGTTAACTCAGCCTGGGCGCTCACCTGACGCTCCAGCGCTTTCGTTCTCCACCAGATGGGAGCCAAGACCGCCTCCCATCCCAGGGTTTCCCTGTGGCTTTTACTGAGCACAGCACGCTCTGGTTTGTACAACCAGAGAGAGCCGCTCGTGAGGAGCTGTCACCTCTTTCCTTTCACACCGTTTTTACTTTGTATCCAGGCTGCTTTATTAACACAACTCTCCTGCCAGGCAAACACAAGGCTCTCTTCAACCCCACATCACAAATTTCGAGTTTGCCTTCAGTGCAAACAGGTTTATTTCCCGTGCCCTGACAAATCAGTGTCTCACATTCTGCCATTCCCCTTACAAGTTAATACAAATAACAATTACTCCTGACTCACTGCTGGTGCTGAAACCAGCTGCAGGCCACTCAGGCAAAAGCTTTCCCTGTATTCCTTCACAGCAAACAGAAGATTATGAGATACATCTCTGAATTAATATACATATTGTGTATCAGTCACCTGTGATGGTTTGATTCGTTATTTGAAATAAATTCTGCAAGATCTCTGCAAAAGTATGAGGCTTCTCCATGTATGCAATATCAGGCAAGGTAGAATTCCCAACTCTTTCCTTCAGACTGCCATGTAGCTACTTGCTGGTTTGTTCTGTGAAAAACAATTCTGCCCATCCCAGTTTGAAGGGTCTGGAATGCACCTGTATTCTTTAAAGAAGCCAATCTGACTTGACCAGAACAACAAAACACAGTTATATATTGGGTAGGAAAGGGAAAGGTCTTTTTTGCTAAGGGAAAAAGAGTAAGTGAAAGAAAATAATTGAAATTTCATTTCTGCTGAATCCATTTTCTTTTATCAGGGAGCTGCTGAGCTGACAAATCATTATTTGCACTGAAGTACTAAGTTATATCTGCACAGCTCAAAATCTGGTGTGAATTTTTTTTAAAATTTTATTGCTAGATATAAAAATTGCCCTAAAACCTGCTTCTTCTACAATCAGAACATAACACTATGCATTTATTGGCCAAATAATCCTTCTCCTCACTGTTCTAAACCTGCATAGTGATTTCAGATTGCTGGGTTCAAAGACCATCACCTGTCAAAGATCAATGTAGTTTGATGGATTTTTAAAGCATTAAAAAGATTTCTCCACACACGTGGAGGATTCCTAACACAAGAAATGCAGCTGACACAAGCTCTCTGGCCACACCCAGTGAGTACATTTCTCTTTATTTTGCAGTTTCAGGAGTTTAGATACAACAAGCACAGTCCCAGCACTGCACAAATCACACTCTCAGCACGACATCACACACACCCCCAACACGTCACAGTAGAGATTCCCAAAAGCAACAGACAGAGGGATCAAGCCTTTAGCACAATGAGCTCAAACCACTCCAAAAAAGTTGCACTTTTGTCCAGAAATTTGTGCTTTTCTTCTTAGAGCTATTACACTTTGAGACACAGCAGAAGGAAATTACAAAAGCACTCAGTGGTGTCATGATCATTACAGGGCAGTGGGCAGGCACTCCACTCCTGCTCCTGGCATCAGCAAGTCCCCCCAGTCAGAGATCACAGACCTAAGGTAAAAACTTCCCAGAATTTTCACTCTTAAGACAACCAACTTCTCTCCATATCCACTCAGTTTAAAAATTCTGCTTCCGTTCAAAGCCACAAAAAGTTGACAGAATAACAGGATGTCTTTGCCACGTTTCCTTTGCAGTTGTGTTTTATTAGCCACTCTTACTTTTCTGAAATTATACTTTGTGCTTGAATCTGAACCCAGAAAATCTAGCCCCCCACACACCCATCTAGAACAAGATTAAAAAAATAAATCAACAACAAAATGCAGAAAGATAATCTAATAATATTGGCACAAATACCTGCCAACACTGACATTTTGGTTTGTGATATTTTTATCTCTCTCACACAGTGCTGTTCCATATCTTACATGTTTTTGCCTCCAACCAAGCATTCAGCAGCCAACTCTCCTTTTTCCTTCATCCTGCAAGCAGCTGATGAGAGGAGATCCAGACTGGAGAGGTAAAACTACACGATACAGGGACTGCAGGACAGAGATTCTGGGCAGAGGACTGGGGACAGGAATGTGCTGAACACAGCAACACCCCCAGCACTCTGCAAGCTGTGCTGAGAAGTTTGGAGGCAAGGGAAGCCCCTGGAAGGGCTCTTTCTCCTTCACTCAGCACCAGCCAAAGCAGAGGGAAGGCAGCACAGGGATGCTGCAGGGCCTCCTCCTCCTCCCCACCCTGGCAGCTTTGATTCCTCCCTGTGTTCTTCATCTCTTTACAGGCTTGACACAAAATCCAGCCTCTTCCTCTTCACTCTATGGGGGACATCACACTGTCAGACAGAAATGCTCTGCTTTCTTGCTCCATCCTACAAAAAAAACCTGAGGTCCATGTCTGGAGGACAGCAACAATTCTCAAAATGTCTGGGGATTTGTTTGTTTATGTTTTTAAAAAAGCATATTCTTGCTTTGTAAGAGATTTCCCCCTTTCTGCTCTTAGACCTGATCCCCTCTAATTGGTTTTTGTGCTTTCTGCTGTTCTTGACAAAAAAAAACACTCTTTCTGCAATAGAGGAATTTAGAATTTAAAAATGCAACATTCTCTGTAGAAATAATATTTGCATCACTACACAATTATTATTCTTCAGTGTAACTCACATTCACACAAGGTGCACTTACAATATTTTTTTTCAGATTATTAAATTATTGAATGAGGAAATATATAATATTAACACTCCAGCACATTAAACAAACATACCAGTTTCCTACAACAGACACTTCTGCCTCTGGACTACATGATAATGCACCACCACAAATGAAAAGATAAAATTTAATCAGGGGACAAGGACATTTCTGAGTGTGAAAGGTCACTAGCACGAGCAGTTCTGCTGTGAAGGGGGAGGGTTGTCTGTGAGCCTCATGCTCCTTCCAGAAGTGCCCCTGGAATTGTCTGATTCTATGCTCTCTGACATCTTCTCACAGATGATATCCACCAGACGCTCAAACACCTGCCTCACGTTGATGTTTTCTTTGGCACTGGCCTCAAAATAGTCAAAACCTGGGGAAAAAGGGAACAAAATTATCAACAGAGATGAATGATCGTGATGGGTTTTAAAATATTGGTTTTTTTGGGATTTACCTGAAGAAAACAAGGCATCAGATAATCCTCAAAGCCAGTTGATTCCCACAATCTCAGAACAGTGAGCAGAAATACTTTAAAAAGTTACCAAGCTTCTTTAAGAGTGAAAAGCATACATGGGTCCTTCCCATGACCCTGGTAAGCACATCTGCAGGCAAGGGTAAACCCTGGGTAAGGGAGTCAGTTCTGCCCCTTGCATCAGTGCAGGTCCCCTGGGCTGCAGCTGGTGACCAGCTAGGTGTGGGGACACCAGCAAGGTGTGGTGTTACATGACTTGTGAGGGTTCCTCAGGGTGAGAGAGATAGATGAGAATCTTGGCTTCGTGATCAGAAGGCTGGATTTATTATTTTATGATATAAAATACATTATGACTACAGTAATAGGAATAGAGAGACAAGTTCAGAAGCTGCTAAGCTAAGAATAGAATAGGAATCTAAAAACAAGAGAGCTCTCTGTGAATCTGTCCCAGAGAAAACTCAGTCCTGTGATTGGCCCTTAATTGTAAACATGGAACATGAGCCAATCACAGGTGCACCTGCTACATTCCACAGCAGCAGATAATAATTGTTTACATTCTTCTTCTGGGGCCCCAGCTTCCCAGAAGAAGAAAATTCCTAAAAGAAAGGATTTTTATGAAAGAATGTCAGTGACAGTGTGGGGAACCTCCCTGGGCTCCTCAGGCTCCCCCAAGCCCTGCTGCCCCCTGGCAAGAGCAGAGGTCAGAGAGGGAAAGAAGATGGGGGTTGCTTCCCTTCTGCTGACCAATTTCTGTCAAAATGCTGCTTGACCCTTTAAACACTGAGCTTTTCTGATTAAAACAAACCAGAGCAGCAAGGCTGGAGTTACAGCAAGGAGGGGATGGCACCAGCTCCTCCTGCTGCCACCAGGGGCTGGGGGAGAAGCAGCCTGTGACAGACAGCCCAGCCCTGCCTCAGCAGCAGGAATGCCCTGAACTGTGAAGCTTTTCCTTATCTCCCTCACCCCAGGGGCTTCGAGGGCCAACCAGGCTGTTGCTTCTCTTCTGTCAGGTTATTAAATTGCCAGCAGCAAGAGCTGGGGCCCCACGGAGAGTTTATTTTGCAATAAGCTCCGTTCTTGTCGTGCTTCATTCTGGGGATACTCAGCATTGCATCATTTCCCTTTGATTCTGCCACAAACAAAGAGAAAATTGGTCTTAACTGATTAGTGTGCCACTGCTGGCAGGCTGAGTCACCTCGATGTGGGGGATAAGTAGGTGTCCATGCCATTTGGAGCCTTTTTAAGGTTCATGGGACAAGGGGTGAAGTGATGGTGATGTTTGCTTTGTTAGCAAACAGGGAGAGCTGCCCTGCATCAGATGAGGGTTCTGTCTGCTCCACTTGCTGTTTTGATGATGAATAAAAATGTATATAAAAAGCACAGGGAATCAGAGAACTGCACTTAGATATCTGTTAGTCCAACATTGGCTTGGGTTCTGCTAAACCAATCTGTTTTGGTTCAGTTCACATTCAGGCTAACAACAATTTCTTAATCTGATTAGGGAATTATTTCAATGATGTTAATGTCACTATGCAAATTTAGATAAATATGCTGAGGGATAACCTTTATGTGAATCATTATGATGAATATTAGCACTTTAAGCAGTCAATTGCCAATTAGATTCCTCCCACGTAACTCACAAAATAATTTCATATAATGCTGTACACATTAGCACAGTTACTATAAGGAAAAACTGATCTGAGCAAATCAGATCTATTTTCCAGCAGTTTTAAAAAGGCTCTTTTGGAAGTTGGGAGGTTACAGAAGAGCAGAGCTGGGACAGCACTCCCCAAAGGCTGCTCTGCACTGGGCTGGTTCCTCCAGGGTGAGCTGGACAAGCACCAGGTCAGGGCAGCACTGGGGATTCTTCTGCAAAACAGGTTCCTATTGATGGAACCAGTTGCTATGGTAACCCTGTGTGTGTTTTGAAGTGTCCCACACGTAAAGGATTCAGATTCTAGATGCCAAGTTTGTATTGAAACAAGGAGATGAATTTTGGGAGGAGAAAAACACATTGGAAGTCCAAATTGGGTTGGGAGTTCAAATAAAACTCTCCATTTGGTCTGGACAACATTTCAATGACTAGCAGTGTAATTATTGCTGTGAGATGGGTGGACACACAAGCATCCACAACCTTCCTGAGAGTCTGCAAGCCAGGAACCAAGTTTATTCACATTCATATTTTCAAAACCAAATTGAATTCTGATGGGTAAAAAAGAGCCCATAACTGATTTTGAAAAGTAACCATCTTTGTTTGCTTTGCCAATCCTACATGTAAATATTTACTCTGACAATAATAACAATGGTCTAATTTGATATTTGCTTGTTATTTGTTTAGGATGGCAGTGCCTCAAGGCTCCAGCCATGAATGGGACCCCTTTGTGTGTGCCATATGTAGAATTTACACTTTCAAGGCCACACTTTAAACTACAGCAATGTATGCAGTGTGTCCTGGAACTCAGTATCTCCAGTTTAACAGTTTATTGGGCATCCTCCAATTACTGTTTAAAAAATGAAGACAACACAGGATTTTATAAATTGAGGATGATGGTGGTTCCTTTGGGTCTGGTAAGAATCTCTGCTCTTACAAGCCAAACATTTATGCCCACTCTAAGGGTCTCCACTGTTACCTGAATGAAATTTTAGCAGGATTTACTTGTTACTTTGAATTCTTTAACAGAAAGCAACAGTATAGTTAAATTCTAACACAAAGCCCTGATTTCATATTAAAAATATCTAAAAATAGGCTATAATAGATAATGAAAAGTGATAAATATCTTATAAAGTAGTATGAGTTTACTTGGCTCTTCATTATAAAATTTTCATTGCAATCCCAGCTTCCTCTCAATGGAACTGTTTTGCTTTTTCCCACATCAATAACATAATGTCATTTTCTTACCTGGATAGAGAAGCCTGGTACATTTTTAAAATATGTTTTACTCAATTCTTCAGTTCTGATGTATAAACCTCTTTCTTTTTCATTGTTTAGTTAAAAAAATGCTTCAACAAAAATCAATGTTTGCATTGATTCGCAATGAGCACATGGTACTTAGAGATCTGACTCTGGAGACAGAATTATGTTTATGAAAACTTTTTCTCTTTTTGTTCTGCTGAGCTAATAAAAGCTTTTTTATTCAGATAAACTTTATCTTCCTTCTGCCTCTAGACACCACCTTTATAAACACAGCAACATTACAAGTATTCTACCAGGTATTCTTGGCCTACTGAGCCAAAAACAAGTGAAATATGAACCTAGAATACACCACATTTCTTAGTTGTGGGACCATTACTGAAGTATTACTACTGTACAAACTGAAAGGAGCAGAGTATAAAGAAGCAGAGGAAGAAAGGTGGAAAGAAAAGCTTTGCATGTACCCAGCTGATCTGCCAGATGTTTCCCCTTCTCCACAGGAACAATCCTGTCATCCTCCATGTCACATTTGTTTCCAACCAGGATCACTTGTGCATTGTCCCAGGAGTAAGTCTTGATTTGTGTGGCCCTACAGGAGGTCAAAAGAGATTGTTACATTCCATCAGCTGTGCCAAAACACAATCCTGTATTAAATATGAAAACAAATATATTAATGACACCATCAACATCCCCAGGCTGTGCTTACACACAAAGCAAAGATGCAGCCTGTGTAATTCACAGCACTGCTCTGTTTTAGCACTCCTTAACTTTCTGTGACAACAAAGGTTCTTGTTAAGACTTTGCAAGGGTTTTCAAGATCACAAGATCCAGATAAAAAACTGAATCAAGTGATTTTTGAAGATTAGGGACAAAAAAGGCATTTTGTAAAGCTTATTCTCCTTTGGGTCTCATCTGTCAGAGTAACAACAATCAATTACAGATCTTAAGGATATTGTCCCATAAAGAAAGCCATACAGCAGATGCACACTTCATGCTGGATTTACAACTCCATATATAAGACAGAACAACAATAATTCTCTCATTTTCTGCAGCACATTTTGCTGTAGAGTTTTAGGAACACCATAAGAACAGCTGGAAGTATCAAGGTGTCTTTGCTCAAACAGGAAAACTTCATGGAGACTGAAAATCACATTGAAATAACTGCAAAGGAGAAAGAGAAATTCACCAAACTGAGAAGACACGAGATCAAAGCAAGGCTCTGTGAGCTAACAGAACCCAGCAGGACTAAAGGACACCTAAGGCTAGGAGGAGCAGCTGCAGTGCCAGACCAACACTAATTTCAGTGGCACAGGGGTGCAGAGCATGGGAGCTTGGCCAGGAGCACTCAGGTGAACTTGGAGCCTCTCAAGCTTTCTGTGGCTCATGTGCTGAAACTGGAGTGGAGCTCACTGTGGATCCCACGACTCTGACCTTACATTTGGCCTTTTTAGAGTTTTTCCATGACAAAAGAGAATATTCTTTGTGTGCATCCTGAGGGGCCAATCCCCTCCCACCATCCTTGGTGTCCCAGAGCCAGCAGCAGAACATTATTAGCTCGGTAGCATTCACTTTCATCCAACTTTTCAGACCCACACAAGCTATTTTATCTTCACCAAGTCAGCTCTGTCTTTGAAGGCTCCCTCATCCCCAAGGCTATGCCAGAAGCCATACATCCCTCTCCTCCATCCTCCTCCACTCCCTAACTCACCTTCCCACTCTTTGCCCCACCACCACTCCAGGCAGGACACTGCAGTTTCAGGAAAATCTGCCACTTCCCAGGAGAGCCAGGAATCCACTCAAACTTTACTTCTGTGTAAGTTTCCTTGAACTCCCTTAACAATAAAGCACTTGATTCCTTCTCTTTTGAATTAGCAGCAGCCTCCAGCTCTGATCTACTAATGACAATTTTTCATTAGTCTGAGTTGCTTACTTGCTTTTTTCCATGGAAAGCAGCTGGCTATGTTACTCACAGGTACCTGGGAAAAGGGGGCATTTCATTGTGCAGCTTGCCTTGAAGAGACTGCCTGCCTGGAGTGCCCTGGAGAACAGGAACGTCAGCCAAGCCCAGCCCCACAGTGCAACATGCAAAAATAAACAAAGACTGTGTGCAATGAAACTTCTTACTCTCCCCAGTCCTCCTGGAGAGGATCTCACTCCAATCCCAATTTTAGCTCCTCCAGTCTCACCCTTTTGAGTGTCTCCATGTAGACAAGTCTTGGGAGAGCTAATATGGATCTGTGATGAGTTTTTGTGGGACTCTGGGGTTTCTCAAGGCTCATCAGAGAAGGGGGTGACTGCAGAAATCAGCCAGAAACCCAGGGAGATGAAATCTCCCCAGTCTCCCTCCATAAGCAATAGAGAGAAATAAAGTCACCTCAAGTTGAACTTCAAACAGCTAAAAGCAGGCTTCTCTTCTGACTCACAGTTCAGCCTCTGGATTCATTTCAGCCCCTGGCATCCTATGGGGACACCCTGCCAAATCTTAACTATTTACACAGAATTACTTAAAAAATGAAAAAGAAACAAACAGGATGAATGATCTCCCAGAGAACTGCATCATTCTCCTTGTTTTGTACAAATCAGTGGAAAACCTCTTACAGAACACCAATCTTTATTCTTCTAAGGAATAAAAAACAACCAAAAAAGTTATGAAGAACAAATAAAAGAAACCCTGATGCCCATATAAAATGAAAGGCAGAAAATTTCCAGATGCTTTTGGAAAGATAAATGAACAATAACAAGGCTTGTGTGATGGAGCTGTTTCAACAACCATCAGGGCAGCCTAATATACACACTGGGAGAAACACATTTCTGTGACACAATAAAATGCTGTGCCTTGTTTGTGCTGAATTCCCCACATTAACAATAAAGCACAAACATTGTGCTTCGTTCTTAGAAGAAAAATAATCTCAGGTTCAAAGTTACATGGAGGTATCAACAACTCAGTTTGGGTTAAAGATAAATAATGCTGATGATTTGTGAACCCAGATGTCACTTGTATCTAAGTTAAATTTTACCAATTTTTATTTCCCTTCTATGAAATTGTCTAGATTGTCCAAAGCACAGCTTCCATAATATTTTGTATTTACTTTACAGTTTCAAGTACTGAGTATATTTTAGCTCCATTGCAGTTTCAAACAAGGTATAAACAGCTGATTTATCCACACACCAAACTATCAACCCAACATCAAATAACAGCTACCGAAGAAGGCTACAAAAAAAAATTCTAGATACTGAGCTGAAAGCTATGAAAGTTCATTTAACCCTTTCATTCACCCTACAGGAAAGACATACTCAAAGGAAATTATTCCTTATTTTCCAATATCAATTAAAACCAATCTTTGTGTTTGACTATTTATATTTTTTCTTGTAAAATAACCTGACTGAACTCTTGCCACACTGCTGTAAGGAAAATCACTCAGGCTTTATATTTTAAGGTTTCTCATACAATGTGTTGTACATTTTCCAGTGAACAAGAGAACAAGTCATGTTCCAGGTATTCCCAAATGCATTTAAATAGTGTCTCTTTCTCAGTGGTTTTAAGATCATCATCACTAATTGGGGTGATTCACGTGAATGAAGGAAAGACTCTGCTTTGCATTCATATTCTACTTGGAGAGTTTGTCTAAATACTGATATACAGCCATGATGCTCTCACTCAGAAGAGAAATTGCCTTTACTTGGTTTAGGAGAGGTGTGAGTGACACAAAGCAAACCAGGATTCTCTTCAGGACATCCCCCATAGGAAGAGTGAAGGCAGTAAAAGGTCTCCCAGGGAAGAAGAAATCATTTGGCAGACTGGGAGGAATATTCTCATTTCCCTTGTGGATAGGTGAGGCCCAATCAGAAGGCTGCTAAAACAGTCATGTGCCAATGATCCAGAGATGGAGATAAAGGAGCTCATATAGTAGACACCTTAATTTTCTATGTAGAGTACAGTTCCTGACTGAAGATATATCCAGTGGAATAAGTTTTCATAATCATAACTGTAGAATGGTGGGGAAAAAAAATCCTACTTGCTATGCTGGAAAATGGCCAATAGAGCAGCACCAGCAGCAGCCAAAAGCTTTTTTCTCCATTTCTTGTGCCTTTGGAAGTTTTGGAAGCAATTTTGCAGACTGGAGGAGAACCATCTCCTGGCTGCAATAGCCACTAGAGGACTCTGCTGGCCCAGAGATGCTGGCTTGGCTGCAGTCCTCATCTCTCCATTGCACAGGCTTCAGGAAGGAAGGAAATGGTCCTTTTTATCCATCCCACTACCTCATTTGGGACCAGAACCTTAAAGCTGGTTGGAAAGATTGCTGACATACAGAGCAAAAACACCCTGATGGTTCACCTCTGTCCTTTGGCTGACAAGGTGCTCTTAGCAAAGATTCTCCTGCAGCTCCTGTGGCACAGGAAGACATGAAGTCAGACAGACAGAGCTGACCTTTCCCAATTCTTATTCTCACACCAGTGCCTTTGGAACAGACCTCAGACTACTTTTAATATAAAGTTTCAGGTTAAACTTCACCTGTGCAAACTTTAAAATAGTAGCAGCTCAGAGATGGAGATTTGGTAAATTTTGGCTAACTTAAGACTGGTAAGTAAAACTTACTAGAGCAGAACCAACAGACAGACAGGAAGATGAACTGTGTGGTCACATGGGTCTTGTTTCACCAGGGAAACAAGCTGGAAATATTTAAAGTTTAGTGAACAGCTCACATGCCTGCACTCCTATGGAAAACATCCCTGTGCAGACACTTGCAGAAAAAGCTTCATTGAGCTTGGTGAGCAAAACTTGATGATGAAACTAGTTTTGGCAAAACCTTTGGGTTTGTGTTTCTAACAAAAAAAAAAATAATGTATTCCTCAACTACAAGCTGCTGCTCAGGATGGGGCTGCAGATCACTGGGTGTTGAGGTACTGGGGATGGGGGGTGAAGGTGGAGACTGCATCTTGGATGTGACCTTCATGAAATAACAAAAACTGGGCAGCTTTGGAGGAAACACAAATCACCTGAAACAACAAACCAGCTTTTGAGTCACAGCCTGGCTTAGGGGATACAGAAGAGGTGTTCAGAAAGCCAGGCTGAGCCAGATGCTAGGAGCCAGTGGCACAGCCAGGATGTCACATGCTCCAGAGGGTCACTGAGATCACTGCAAATCAATCTGCCTCAGGAGATCACATTAACCACTGCACTGCCCTTCTCTGCACCAGGACCACTGCTATCTGCAGTAATGAGCACCAGGAAAGCAGCTGCAATGATTGCAAGACATTTCAGTGGAGTCACAGGGCACTGCTGAGGAGAAACACAGGCTTTCCCCAACTCCTGAGATGTGAATTGAACAACCACTGTTAATTTAATCTCTATTTTTAGCAGCGTAGCCAGAAATCTTATAAACCCAAAAAAAGCATTAAAGGATTAATTTCTTCACAATAAATTGAAACTTTTAAAAGTAACAAATACTACAGTATGCAACAATATGTGATTTACAACCTTTTCATTAAAATGAAACTGCAGAATTTTTTCTAAGGAATGTTTATAAATCAAATTATTTAGGTGAAGAAGAAAGAACATGGAGGTGATGGTGATGCAGGGTGGGATGTCTCATGTTCTCAACAAACAATTGCGAGGAGAGAATTGGCCAAAACCCAAACAGACCAAACATTAACTATAGTATTTCAGTATTTCCTACCAGTCCTGCACAGCATTGAAGGAGTCCTCACTGGTGATATCATACATGAGCACAAAGCCCATGGCCCCTCGGTAGTAGGCTGTGGTGATGGTCCTGTATCTTTCTTGTCCAGCTGTATCCTACAACAGAAAGGAACATTTAGGCTTTAAGATTACAGTTCTCAGAAGCAAAACTGTAATTAGGTTCTATATCTAAAATAAGACAACCACTCTTTGTTATTTTACATTTTAAAATTCTCAGTTGCTCCCAACTGAAATGAACTCTACTTACATTTTAGCATTAATTAATCTTTAGCATCAACCATGATTTGTTAAATGCATTTTGACACATGTTCTATTAAAAAAATACCAAAGATGTCAACCCTTTAATTGCTCTTCTCTGCCTCAGCTGCAATGCAATAATAAAATGGTAGCAGAGTTCACTGAAAACTGACACTTCAAAGCAGAGGCAAAATAACCAGCCCAGGACTGTTCCAGGCAGAAAACATTCACATGTTGCAATTCAGTGTCACGGTCAGGGAAACGTCCTTGAGGAAGATGCTGGGGGTGACTCCCTTTCTTGCCTCAGGTTAGACACAAAAATTAAAGATTTGATGCAATCAACATTATTCTAGAAAGTGAAATTAATGTGGAATATCCTAATCACAGAGTCTGAGGTGCACATACTAATATGAGACCTATTAATCCTGTTCTGTTGGTTCATCTTAATTCTGTTTGCCCCCAGAGTTCCTGCAGAGTTCCTCCACCTGCAGTTGTCATTTCTGTGTTCAGCCGGGCAGCACAAAGGTGAACTCTGGCATATGCAACAGAAGAATTCTGAAAGACTTGTGACAGCTAGAAAACATGTCAACTACCATCTGTTGGATGCCAGTAGCACTTTTCCTTTACATTTTGCAAGCTTATTTTTAAACTGAGGAATATTTCTACACCAGAACTGCAGTCCCACAGCCCAATCCATTCCCTCCAGACCTGCCTTCTGAACCAAGGAGAGAAGTCATGTGCTGATTGTGTCTCTCACTCTGAAGGTGTCGATCTTTTGAACACATTTCATCCTTCTTTGGGCAAATGGCAGCTCTGTGAAACAGCTGCAGGGAGCCAAAAGGCTTTGCCTTCAAATTGTGTGCTCAGTATGAGGTGTCAACTTACAGTTACTGTGATGGGTTAGTTCTAAAATGAACCATCCTTCAGTCCCCCAAAACCCACAACGAAGAAAGCATTGCTGCCACTGGTTTAAAATGGGATTAAAGCTCTAAAGAAAAAGACCCAAAAGGACTTTACAACCATGTAACTAGTTGGAAGAGTAAAATAAATCCACATAGAGCACTCTTGCAGGAGTAGAGATCAGACACAGCACCTCACCACAGCGCCAGGAGACAGTGGGGGGAAACTCAGCTTTAAAATCATCCTGCCCATCATAGCCATCCATGCAGCTTTGTTTTTGCTGCATGCAGGAGACAGTGCTGGCCCTTGCAGAACACTCAGCAGCCAGTCTGGGGCTGCCTGTTGTTCTGCACCAGAACATCACAGAGCCTCTCTGCAGGACAGCACTTGTAAATAAGCTCCCTACAGCTTGCTTAAAAGGCTCTGCTACTGCACTACTGTGAGACCATCCACAGCTGTAACATACTGTGAACTTCCCAGTGGAGAGGCTGTGCAGCAGGAATCTTGCTCTTTCTCCACCAGATATCTGGGAAAAGATGTGATTTTTTCCCTTAAACTTGTGCATTTATTTCAGTACAGGGCAGTCCATTGGCTGATCACGATGAGCCACTGCACAGTGGCTGAGGAATTGTTCTGTTCCCTCCTGGCAACAGGTCAGAGATAGGAATATCAGAATGAGGTGGGCTCCACCCTGCAGCCTGAGTGACCATTTCTTTTCCTGCCAGTGATAAATCCATCACAGAACACTCCCATGTTCACTGACAGCACATCCCCCTTAGTGCTGAACAGCTAAACCAGCCATGACAACTAGATCCTAACTATATTTCTTCAAGCAAGGAAGGTCTCAGCAGTAATAGTACTGTTCTTTTGTTCAGAGAGATGATAGTTTATTTCAGCCTGATTTCCTAAAGACGTGAAGTTTATTAAAACATCAGTCTCCACATAGGCACACTTGATCAAATTTGCCTGAAGGAAAACGTGTTTAAATGTTTTCATATTTGTCACAAAAAGTAGTTGGTGAGGTGAAGAGAGACCTTAAGCATACCTTAGCTGTGAAAAAAGCTGAAGTGCAATGATTATCTTTCCCAAGGATTCACAATAGAGAGGCTTTCTTTCTGCCTCATTAGAAGGCCCTAAATCAGTATCAGCAATTTCAGAGATCCTGCAACCAACAAAACCAAACAAATCCATAGGAAGTCAGGTTTCGCCACATCTCATGCTCACAGTGTTATTGTTTGATACCTGCACTCACAGGCTCATCTGCCTTTCACATCTCATCTGCTATTTTCTCCTCTGTGTTTAAGCAGTGCCCACTCTGGCTCAGGGCATGAGGCTGTGACTAGGCAAAAAGTGACTGCAAGACACATTGTCAAGTTACATGCAGAATAATTTGGAAAGAAATTAAATTTGACAATGGCTCAGAGCAAGGACTCAGCTCTGGGGACACATCCAGGCTGTCCTGGGGAGCAGCCTCAAGGGACACACAGGGTGACTCCCAAAATCTGTCCTGATACCCCCTCAGTGCCTCAGCTCAGGGAGGAATTGGACTGAAAAAGCCAAATTGTGCTACTGCCTGAAAGCTCTGGAATTTGGGACATCTAATTTGCTGATTTCAGAATTCTGTCTGTGATCCCCCTGTGAGTGCGGATGGGCCCAAATTTATACATTAGTGAGAGATGGGGCTGCAGGAGGTACAGAACCCCAAGGGATGCGTTTGCTCAGTCATAACCTGTCCTATGTGAGCAGTGCACTTAAATCATTAGAAAGACAAGTTGCATATTCACTAGGATATACTTGTGTGCCTGCCTTCCCAGATTATCAGAGAGTGTGTGTGTGTGAGGGAAATGCATCCTGTATCCCATGGTATATAAAGATTGTTCATACCCTTGCCCTGGTAGCCATGTGCTACAATGCAGAGATGTGATTCATCTCCTCCTGAGTCACTGATGGTTCCTCATTCTCTTTTACTGTACAGGTACAGAGCATGTCATCTCCCCTCACAGCTTTATGGTGGCATCTCTCCAACTGCACCTGAATTTTAGTAGGATCACCCTGAAATTACTTTTTTCCTCAGGTTACATTAGCTTCTTAGACAGCAATAAACTGGCTTAATTTTCTTGACTCACCCCATGAGAGCTCAGGTGCACAACCCTCCCCAAACACACAGATGCCTCAGCATAAATAAAATAAAACAAACTGCAAAATCTGAGCTCACTTTCTGCAGCAATTACAACAGTTGTCCTTCTCTCCGTTTAAAACTGAGAGGTAATTAGTCATTTCAGGTTTTTAAGTTCAAGTTGTTTATCTAATGAAGGAAAAAACAACTGACAGAAATTGCTCCCCACCCTGCCAAGTTGTTTCCAAGATTTCCAGGTAGACCACAAACTCATTAGGAGACAAGTACACGAGGCACAGGCAGGGATCAGCAGAAAGGTGATGCAGCACTAATTAACAGTCTAGCCAAATGCCTGGGTGGAAGAGCCTGAGCCCCCAGCATCCAGAAAGCTGCTGGGCTGTCCCTGAGGAGGAACCAGAGAGCCTGGCTGTGAGCAGGCACAGGAGGGTCTCTGGGAGGTGTATTTACACCAGGGTGCTCCCAGCTCTGCTCTTCTGCAGCTTACATGTGTGCCTGTGCTTTAGGCAAACAATTAAAAACACCCACAGGACCATTAGTGGGTAGCTTGAAACAAAAATGTGAAGGTTTTGCATTAATGAGCAATCAAAATTCAGTATTTATCAGAGAATAAAAAGACCTAAATGCATTTGCATTGTGTGCAGATGCCCTCTAGTCTCAAGATCCATCACACAAACATTCACAATAGGAGTACAATCAGCTTTTCTTAAATTTACTTGGCTGTCTCAGCAGAAACAAGGTACTAACACAGAAAACATATTTGAGTTTTTAAATAATGACAGATGCTCTTTGCTGCAGGTCTGAAAACCCACAATCCCTGATTCTGAACCATCCTTCTTCTAGTCAAGATTTCCAGCCACAAATTCTTAGTTCCAAATAAAATGCCACTGAAACATCTAATCTGTACTGAATTTAATCCCCTTAGCACTGTGACTTTTCTAGCAGTGTATGTGACAAATAGCCTCTAAGGAAATAAACATTTCCATTTTTTAAAAGGATTATTGTGTGATTTCCATGGGTTTTTTGTTTTTTTATCAGAGAAGAATGAGAGTTCATTCATGCAAGAATTCATGCCAGGATGAGAGTTGCTTATTGTCCAGCTATTGGCAACATCTACAGTCTGCATGTACTTGGCATGATCCTTCCTTAGGCTGCTCAGAGTCAGAACAGAGGCTACATCCTCCCCAATAAGCAGCACCCACCACCATCTGGGGCTCAACCACACCTGGTGAAGGAAAGACTTCTTCCCTGCTGTTAAACGTCACATTGTAACACACTATGGCATTTTGCACCTTGTTTGGGGTTTGGTCAGCCTTGGAGACAGGATAATCCACGTCCCAGCCCCGTGGTTATAGGGGGATGTTACACCCAGACACACATCTCCAGTGCAAAAGTAGACTTTGGGGTGGAAGGCACCAAGAATCAGATAAACAAAAGTCACCTTGGGAAAGGGGGAAAAAACCACCCACCCACCACATACCACAAGAGAGAAGGACCTTGGGCAGGCTAGACTTAATGTGTCATTAATAAGAGAATGTTAACATTAAGCTTAGCATTTCCTGCTGGCAGCCAGAAATAGGAACAAACAGGCAAGCAGGATGAGTCACTGGTTAAGACATGGAAAAGATGTGATGTCATGAAAAACCTGTGAAGATTCAATTGCTGCCAGGAGCAAAATAACACCTGGTTCCTTCAGAACTCAGCTCTCATCAAAATGCTCCAGTTCAACAGATCATATTAGGCTTTTTTTTCCTCTCTTGTTATTGAGTGCTCCCACTGCCCAAGAGCCACTGGAATCTACTCAGACCCATTCAGCTGCCTTGAG